AGTCTATGAAGGTGAGGTCCCTGTGCTTCGATGGTACTTTAGTTTTCACAGAAACCAGTGTTTCCCACCTTCTGTTCTGTTCCCTTCTCGCACCGGTTGGAATCCAGGGCCCGTCTTTAATAAGGTAGCTTCTGAACAGCCTCTAAACTCTCTTGCATTCTTTCCTATAAACTTTAGTCTCCTGTTGAATTTCATGCATCCAGTTACTTCTTCATTTAGTACTCACTGAAGATCTACTATGCTCAAGGTATTGTCTCTGTTCCTAACATGATTGGATTTTTCTATTATATTCTATATTTTTCCTGGCAGATTATTGGTTACCAGACCCAGACTGGTTTGGGGATTTGGGGGTAGGGTTGATGTGGTGGAGATGGTGACTTACTTATAGCACTTACTAGTTGTTATGTTGTTGCTATTTCAACTTAGTATCCACGATATCATATACAAATAATACAATTATTTCTGATATTCAACATGCAGTCCAATTTTTCTCATATTAAAAATCCCTTGGCTGAACATAGTGGCTCACGTCTGTAATTCCATTACTTTGGGAGGCCGAAGCGGGCGGATCACTTGAGGCCAGGACTTCGAGATTAGCCTGGCTAACATGGCGAAACCCCATCTCTACTAAACAGCAACAACAAAATGCCTGACACGTTGGCTTGTGCCTGTAATCCCAGCTACTCGGGAGGCTGAGATGGGAGAATGGCTTGAACCCAGGAGGCAGAGGTTGCAGTGAGCTGAGGTTGCACCCCACACTCCAGCCTGGGTGACAAAGTAAGACAATGTCTCAAAAAAAAAAAAAAAAATCCCTTTACATGTTCAAAAAAATGTCAAAAGATTGAAATTGTAGTAGACTGCCTTGGTGTATCCAGGAATTTAAACAGTTCACTGTTTTAACATAGCATATCTTGTTGCCTATGGTATTAAAACAACCATTGTTTATTGGGTTAAGCAACTATCCTTGGTTTCTTCCTTTATTGAGAGGATCTGCCCTGATTGAAAACCACATAAAAAGTGATAACCTTTTTCAAATGCACTTTTTCTATTGTGATTATGCTTATGATTTCTCTTTACTGACCTGTTTTTGTGATGCACTATGCAGACGTTCTTACATTAAACCTGCTTCCATTGCTAGAGCTGGTATTACTACTTCATGAATCATTCTTTTAAAAGATATATGAATGTATGTTATTTACTGTACTATTAAATTTATGTCTATATTCAAACATGTCTTAAACTTGAAGATTTCTATTTTGTGTTATAGTTGATGCTTTGGTCTCAGTCTTTATAGAACATTTCAATTTGTACTTGCTCAGAATCAGTAATGTGTTCGGCACCATGTAAATCCTTGTTAAACAAATGATGAGACAAAACGCCACCATCTAAAACTAAATATAAGTTGACTAGTGTGAGAGGACAAGGGGACAAGGAGGAAGAATATAGGATGTTCTATTTCTAATCGTCAAATACGTATCCCACTTTCATTCTCTTCTCCATCTCATTGGCCTCTCAAATCCCCTTTTACAAGCTCAATAACCCATGGGACAATCTTGAATTCTCTTCTGTCAGCCTAGAAGATTTACTCTGTCATTTCCTTACTCTCCCTAATTAACAATGATTCGGCCAGATGTAATAGCTCACGTCTGTAACCCCAGCATTTTGGGAGCCCGAGGTGGAAAGATCACTTGGGTCAGGAGTTCGAGACCAGCATGGCCAACAAGGTAAAACCCCGTCTCTATTAAAAATACAAAAATTAACTGAGCATGGTGGCACATGCCTATAATCCCAGCTACTCAGGAGGCTGAGGCAGGAGAATCGCTTGAACCTGGGAGGCAGAGGTTGTAGTGAGCAGAGATAGCACCACTATACTCCAGCCTGGGCAACAGATCAAGACTCAGTTTCAAAACAGACAGACAAATAAACAAACCAACCAATGATCCACTCTTCCTCGTTCAGTCCAAATTTTCCTATCTCAGAGAAGCCTCTTCTATCCACTTTCCAGGACTAAAGTTGGTCCTCAGTGATTATTTTTCCATCTTTAATTAATTAACATTCTCTAGGCATAAATAGTAACAACCTTTTTTCCATCATGAAAAATGCAAACTTGTTTTCAAACTTCAAAGTTGCCCCTTAGTTTTTTAGGATGATTTGATTTATAGAAATTTTAAAATTTTTATATCAAATTTATCCATCACATTCTTGGCAATTCACTGCCCTGATATTAATCCAACGTTCCCACTCAACTGCATGTGCACACAAGCACACATTCTCACAGGCCTTGTCTTTGATTCTAATGGCTGTGTGCCTTTTTTTTCTCCTCTTGTGTATTTAGTCCACAGGCTTTTCTTCTTCTTGGAGGAATTCACTGGGCAGACATTCTTTGAAGCAGGGAAGCATAGGGATCTTCCTGTGTGGTGGTCACAAGAGGTAACAGACCTGTTTTATTTATAATGATCAGATTTCCATCCTTGATGGCTGCCCCATGTAAGGGGGATATTGATAAATGATAACCATGAAAGATAGATTTATTGTGATGTTAAAAACAAAAGTTCAGGCCGGGCACAGTGGCTCACGCCTGTAATCTCAGCACTTTGGGAGGCCAAGGTGGGCGGATCACTTGAGACCGGGAGTTCAAAACCAACCTGACCAACATGGTGAAACACCATCTCTACTAAAAATACAAAAATTAGCTGGGTATAGTGGTGCATGCCTGTGGTCCCAGCTATGTGGGAGGCTGAGGCACAAGAATCACTTGAATCTAGGAGGCAGAGGTTGTAGTGAGCCAACATTGCACCACTGCACTCCAGCCTGGGCGACAGAGTGAGACTCTGTCTCAAAAAAAAAAAAAAAAGAGAAAAAAAAAAACTTCAAATGTATGAAATATCCATAGTATGACACACAAATCATAGTAGAAAAATGACATGCATCATCTTATTTTTCACTCTTCAATCCTCCCACACAGGGAATATTTACTACTCCTACCATGGAGGTGAAGTAGCTGCAACTAAGAGTTCGAATAACTTTCTCAGTGTTACACAATAGTAAGTTGGTGGATTGATATGATTTGACTGTGTCCCTATACAGTGAACCAGAGGCAGGTTACAGAAGAAATGTAGAATTTCAGTGCCTATAGAGGTGGTCAACCTCTTCATCAGAAGAATGTGAATCAGGGAGACTAAGAAAACGATAAACCAACATGCCAGAACCCAGAGGCCACAGAGGCAGGAGTTCATGATGACTGTGGGGTGCAGGGGGTGGTAGATCTCATTTTGAATTCCCATGTGTAATGGGAGGGACCCAGTGGGAGGTAATTGAATCATGGGGGTGGGTCTTTCCCATGCTGTTCTCGTGACGGTAAGTCTCATGAGATCTGATGGTCCTATAAGGGGGAGTTTCCCCACACAAGGTCTCTCTCTTTGCCTGCCACCATCCATGTAAGATGTGACTTGCTCCTCCTTGCCTTCCACCATGATTATGAGGCTTCCCCAGCCAGGTGGAACTGTAAGTCCATTAAACATCTTTCTGTTGTAAACTGCCCAGTCTCAGGTACGTCTTTATCAGCAGAGTGAAAATGGACTAATGCATGGATCAAAATTTTATTCTAAAAAGTCCAATTTCAGAAAATATTTTCCAAATCACAACTCTATACTGTACCTTGAAAGTTATGTATCTAAAGTA